GGTTTTGGTGACTCACCAAAGCAACGAGGAAGAGGGAAATCAGGCATTTTAGGAAGCCAAGACAGGAAGGATTTTGCAAAGAAGTGTTTCAAACTGACACCGTACAAGATAAGGCACATCTCTCCCTCCCCAAGCATCCCGTATCTTCCTTCTATGTAAAAGTTCGATTCCCATCACTGCTGCTACTGCAACCTCCTGGATTCCTGCTCTTATTCCCAAGCGTGTTGGGAAAGGACCTGGTTTTATATACGGTTTACCCAGGGTCTCATTTTTGCTGGGGTTTAAATTAAATTCAAATTACTCTAGCGACAACTTGATGGAATTATTCTAATGCGCTCTACGTGGGGCTGCCTTTGAAGATGGTCCGGAAGCTTCAACTGGTTCAGAACAGAGCGGTGTGGTTGCTAACAAGAATGAGCTTGCGTGCCATATCACACTGGTCCTTGTCTGGTTGGGCCCAATTCAAAATGCCTGTTTTGACATAGGAAGCCCCAAACAGCTTGGGGCCAGCATACCTGGAGGGACGCCAGCTCTCTCACCGAGATCAGCTATGCAGGTCATTCTCGGGGAACTGCCCCGTAAAAAAGGGGGTGGCAAACTGGAGCAGGGCCTTTTCCGTTGTTACACCGCCTCTCTGGAACATGTTCCCAAAAGATACACTTGGAACCTTCGTAATCTTCTTTCTGGTGCCAGGTGAAAACCGTTTTTTATTTGCCAGACATTTGTGAGAGATATCATTTTATTGTACTTCTGCACCTGAGATTCATTTATTAGACGGTTGCCGTTATTTCTTCTGGACTTTTCCCTGTTTTTAATGTTTGGTTTTATTGTATTGTTGTAAGGTAGGGTTTTTTTGTCGTATATCTGTTTTTTATTGTTTTATATTTGTTTTGGAAGGTAAACCACCCAGAGAGTCCAGTAGGCTATCGGAGCAGTATAGAAATATAATAGAGAAAGAGAAGGAGGAGGGGGAGGGAGAGGGGGAGGGAGAGGTCAAGGACAAGGAGAAGGAATAGATGGGGATGACGGAGAAGGGGAACTGTATCTTGACTGTGTCTTGCATGTAGCGCAGCATAAATAAAGGTGATGGCGATGACATGGGAATAGGAATTAGCACAAGCCATCCCGCTCCAGTTCTCAGTGGCCCTACACACAAGTCCGTGAACCAGTGTGCTACAGTCTCTCACACCCCACTGAGCCAGAAAGTTTGGGGAATTAGCATTAGCAGCTCCAGCACAAGTAGCCTGGTCCCAGCCTAGCAGTTTATCAATTATCTTCAGCGAGGAGGCAGCCTCAGCAGAATCCCGCCATCCATGACTGGGACTGAGCATAACATTTCCTCTTGCACGGAGGGGAGGGAGGGATGCGGGTAGGAAAGAACTGAAAGTCCCAGCTCCTGGGAGACTGGCAGCAAAGTCATACTGAACATGTGAAGAGTGCACATGGTAACAAGCAAAATCACATTTCCAGTGGTCTTCTCAGTGAGTCTGCGTGAGAAGACAGTGCATGTGCCCTTTCTATGAAAAAATCACAATTTTTGGAGCCACCAAAGATAAAAATGAAGGGGGAGAGGACAAAAACGGGCAGGGAGAGACAGAGCTTGTCTACCAGCAACGTCAGCAAGAGACCACCAGGAGTGCAAAAACCAGCCAAGCAGGACCATGCGCCTGTTCCTGGTTTAGGCAAACCGGAGACCTTCATGGAGGAAGAAAGCACTCTCGATCCCTCCTTCTTGGCACACAGGAGGTAGAGAAGGAAGCAGGAACATGGCAGCTCAAGAATCACTTGTCCTCGGCCTTATCCCACGGAAGCCAAAGGTTATATCCAATGCCATTCATTCTCAGCAGCCACCAGGGAGACAGAATGGTGGTCTTGAATAGGATACGGATAGGACTGTACCATAATACCCCTTCCCATTTCCCGAAGGTTCATGTTTTCATGTAATACTCACATCTCTTTCTAGCCCCTTCATTTATGGAGATGGAAGAGGGAACATGGGAATAGTATTTCATTCCATTGCCCCTTTCGGCCCTTCGTGAATCCCTGACGGATGCGAGATTCTCTTCGGGACCTTGTGTTTTGCAGTGAGGTCTATTCGCCAGTGCACTACATCAATTTTCTCTGCCCTTCACAGTCCCTTGGCTCAGAACGTGTCCAGCGGCTGACGGCTCAGCACTCGGCCTTTCTGCAAAAGCACTTGTCATCCCAGGCCAAGAAGCAAGGTTCCCTGCACGGCTCATTAACCACAGGGCTTGGTTACAGTCCTCAGTGAGGAGCACCCATGACTACACAAAACAATCCTTTACAGCGTTTAACCTGCAGATAAATGACTCGCCAAGTCGAGTACAACACGATTCTGCCTCCTCCGCAGCCATCATTACCTCCACATCCCCTTTTGGCAAAGCACCATCCGACAAGTCTCAACAACACCCGAAATTCCACAGCTGCCTTTCCCCAGGGACGGACAGAAAGGTGGCAGGCCCTTTCGACACAATCCTATGTCACGCTAGCACAGAAAGTCCCGCCGTGTTCAGTAAAATGATTCAAAGGGAAGCGCATGCGGCTGTACAGTATGCGTAGCTTACTTGGAAATAAGCCCCGCTGAACTTAATAGGATTTACTTCTGAGAAAATAGAAGCAAAATTGCACTGCAATGGAATTCAGCTGCAGACTTAGGTGCATTTTTACCTGCAAGACCCAATTAACTGGTGGGAGGTTAAATTTTGGACATGCGTACACTTGTACTGCTATCAAGACACGCTATTCTGTTTACACCCCTCCCCTTTCTTCCTCTTGCAAGTCACCCAGAAGAGTCTCTTGCAGGCACCCCAAAAGAAATAAGAGTCTTCCCCCTTCCATTTTATCCTCAACCCCTTTTTTATTCAAACAAATTTTGGTCGATTTTATTTTATTGTATACTTTTAGATTTTTATGGGGTTTTAAATCTTAATTTATTATTTAGTTAAAACTTTTGTACCCTATCCACCACTGACATCTCAGGAGAGCTTACACTTTTGGTTTACCTGTTGGTTGTGCTTACTGGTGTGTGTGAGCATATTTTATCTGAGGTGCTCTATTATTTTATTGTTTCATCTTTTATCTGATTCAGTACTTGTTTTATTGTAATTTATGTATGTTTTTATTCTCTAGTATTGTAAGCCATCCAGAGAACCTTCGGGTTATGGGGCGGCATAGGAATGGAATTAAATAAATAAATACATAACAACCACCCTGTGAAGCAGGGAAGGCTGAGAATCAGTGACTGATCCCAAAGTCATCTTGTGAGTTTTATGGCTGAGTGGGAACCAACACCCAGGTCTGCACAGTCCCAATCCAGGACTCTCAATCACTACCCCACAGTGGCTCTCACAAGCTTTTGTAGGCCAAATAAGCTGGATCCCAACCACAGAAGTGTCATCCCGCATACATCTGTTGGTCTTGAAGACGCTTTGGATGTGTTTGCAGTGAGAAAGCATTTTGGCCTTCTGGATTCTGTACTTAACCTGTAGACATTGGAGTTTAGACATGTCACAAGCTACGTGCTTCTGAACTGCTAACCTCTTTTGGCCCCACGGTTTATCATTTCATGTCAACTGCAGATAATGCTTCCCGCATCTGATAAAGTGGGCTTTAATCCACTGCGTAGGTCCCACTGAGCTTTATGGAACTTAATCCCAGATAAGTGTGCATAGGTTTACTGCCTCACTGGCCAACTTCATGCATGTTCACTGGGACTTATTCCCAGCTTGGTGTGGTTTATAAATCTTCTGGTGTGATCCTGGGCATCTGTACTCAGAAATAAATGTTCTCTTTCACAGGACTCTCACACAGGGCATAATTCAATGCTGGTTTGTAACAGCAACAGTAATTATTATTACTATGTGGCCAGGGAGAGCCTAGAACCTTAATCATCTGAGCCCAGTCTAACCACTCACCGCACTGGTTTACTCGGAAATGCACTGGGGTTCGAGGACCTATGCGTGGTTGGGCAGAAATATGCTAGGAAGAAATAGCTATAGTCTTAGGGAGCCATTCTATGCATACTTTGATGGGAACTGATTGCATCCATAGGGAGTGATCCTATGCCTGTCTCGCCAAAAACTAACTGCAGTCCCGGGAAGCATTCCTGGTACGTATTGCATCGCGTCGCACTGCAATCGCAGCGTTGTTCTCCTTCTTGGCAAGGAACCGAGGCAGCTGCCAGCCCTCTCCAGCGCCCCATTGGTGTCCCCACAGCAAGCCTGTGCGGGGGTAGCTCGTCTGAGCATGAGCGACAGGCCCCACGCAGGCTCGGTGCGGGCTAGAGCCCAGCTCGCCCGAGCCTGGCCACGCTCTGACCACTCCACCGCACTGCCTGCTGCATTCCAAGGAGCGGCCCCTACGCCGCCTGGGCAGAAACAGTCGCGTTCCTCGGGAGCGACCCGTGCCTGCCTGGGCAGGAATAACCGCCAGCCCAGGGCGCCCATCCCATGCGCGCCGCCAGGGACACCTGCGGGCTCGAGCGGCCCGCCCCGCGATCCCGGCCCCCCGAGCCGGGGCCGGGGCCGGGGCCGGGGCGCGGGGACTCAGTCCCGGCGAACGCGCACGGGGCGGGGCGGGGCGGCGCGGCTCGTCGCTCCC